CACCGTGCTGATCCGAAGGCAGGAGCCAGGTGCTTATCCTAGTCTCCCATGGGGTGCAGGGCCCAAGCACTTGGGCCATCCTCCACTGCACTCCCAGGTCACAGCAGAGAGCTGGCCTGGAAGAGGGGCAACCAGGACAGAATCCGGTGCCCCGACCGGGACTAGAACCCGGGGTGCTGGCGCCGCAAGGCGGAGGATTAGCCTAGTGAGCCGCGGTGCCGGCTTTCCTACAGTTTATTGAAGTACTGTTGTATTTATATATAAACCCTGTATGCAAGTGTGACCTGCTCTCTGCAATGTGAATTTATACTGACGTCACTGCCTCCAACTTGGTACCACAGGTGTTTTCTGGCCTTGGCTCCTTGCTGATGGATAGACACATTTTTCCCACAGTAAGGAACCTGGCTTCTGTTATCCCTAGTTAAGTTTGCTTGTTCATCTCAAGGATGGAAAGCAGTTTCAGAAATGCCAACCCGTATCTCTGCGACACAATCAACTTAGAAAACAGAGTGCCATTTTATGTACAGCCTTTTGTATTTACATGTATTACTTCTGATTAAAATGCTAAAGTCATCATTACTTTAAGCCAGCTGTTGTTTCAACAGGACGCCTTCAGTGAGATCACCTGAAGTGTTCCAAATGTGTGGAGCCATTTGTCACAGTCCTTGTTCCATGTAGGATCCCCTGATATCCCGGCCGAGTTTTCAACAATTCAGTCATTGCTGCATATTGTTCCGAAGCTGCCTGCAATCTTGAACCTGTTGGCACAGCTGTGTATAGAACACTGCAGTCACCCTAGAGTTCTTTGTGTGGTCCCCGTGTGGTCGGCCTCTCTCCCTCTCCAGCCCATGGAATGCACCTGTGTATTTTCCACCCTGCAGTTCGCTCTGGGCCACAATACAAAATAGAGTTAAACCATACGTCACCTCTTGGGTTTGGCTTCTGTTAGTTAACAAAGTTGGTTTAGGTTGCTTTTTGTTGTTGAGTAGAGTTCTGTCTTAGGGACCAGTTTTTCACCCATTCACCTCTTGAAAGGTTCCATGCTTCCAGTTTTGGTGGTTATAGAACTGTTAGACATAGTGTAACTGCAGGTATGCAAGTGTAAATTCTCACTCCGCTTGATTAAAAACCGAGGAGAGAAACTGCTGTGTGGTAGGGTAACCGGCTGACATTCTGGGGGCTGCCCAAACACTGGCACTTCCAGCAGCATGGAGGGAGTGTTCCTGTGACTTGCTCGTTTGTACCCTTTGGTGCTTTTCGTTGATTGGTGGTGAGTTTTTAATTTTTTTTTTTGACAGGTAGAGTTATAGACAGTGAGAGAGAGAGAGAGAGAAAGGTCTTCCTTCCGTTGGTTCACCCCCTAAATGGCTGCTATGGCTGGCACGCTGTGCTGATCCGAAGCCAGGAGCCAGGTGCTTCTTCCCGGTCTCCCATGCAGGTGCAGGGCCCAAGCACTTGGGCCATCCTCCATTGCCTTCCCAGGCCACAGCAGAGAGTTGGACTGGAAGAGGAGCAGCTGGGACTAGAACCCGGTGCCCATATGGGATGCTGGTTCCTCAGGCGGAGGATTAACCAAGTAAGCCATGACGCCAGCCCCGAGTTTTTAAATTTTTAGAAAACATTAATTTATTTAGTAGGCAGAGAGAGAAATAGAGAGAGTGGACACGTGATGTTTCTCCCTATAAATGCCTTCCATGACCAGGGCTGGGCTGAGGGGAAGCCAGGAGCTGGGAATTCATTGCAGGTCTCCTTTGTGGTTGGCACTTACCTAATACTTGAATCCTCACCCGCTGCCTCGTACAGGTCAGGAACCCAGGTAGAGTGTTGAGCTCAGTTACTCCCAGCTGTGACTGGGGCGCATTAACTGGGGTCTGAGCTGCAGGCTGAAACACCCACCAGGCTTGCTGTCTCTCCTGGGCTCTTCTCACGGATGTGTGGTGGTGAATCGCTGCACATTCAGCATGCCTTTCTCCAGAGACTGCTGCTGATCCTCTTGTCTTGTTCCTGTGAGCAGTGTATCCATTTTATACTGATTTTTTTACTGATGCATAAAAGTTGTGTTTATTGAGAACGGTGAGAGTTTTGATACTGTGATTTTGGCATTTCTAATTTCTATAGGGATGTTTAGGTCAGATTCTTTGTTTGCCTTTGATGGCTTAACTACTAAGAAGTTTTCCGTTTCCTTTAGGTAGCCTAATGTATCATTGGAAAGTTTGTGTCAGAATTCATGACGTCAGCAGTCTTACCTTATTCCACCTGTGGTCCTTTGTGACCACTTGCTTTGTGAGCAGCCTGCCTATGGCTATGGGTATATGCATTTCTATTGATCCTTTAAAAATAATGGGTTTTGCTTTCACTGGTTTTGTTTTCAGATTCATTGATTTTTTTAACATTTATGTCTTTCTGCTTTTTTTTGATATTTGTTCTGCTCTCCTCTCTTATTAATGGGCAGGTTCTAGTTGCTGACTTCAGATGTTTCTCCTATATAGAAGCGTGTAGTGCTATTTTTTCATGAACTTCTGTAATTGCAACCTATACATTTTGATATGCTGCATTTTTTTCTGTTAGCTCAGAATACTTTTTTTTTTTTAAGATTTTCTTATTTCTTTGAAGAGAGGGATACATTGATGAAGGAGGGGAGTGAGTGACAGAATGAGTGAGGGAGATAGACACACAGATCTTCCATCTGCTGTTGTGCTCCCCAAATGGACAGAAAATTCTAGGGCTGTCCCAGGCTGAAGCCAGAAGCCAGGAAATCCATCTGTGTTTCCCACATGGGTTGTAGGGGCCCAAGCACTTGGGCCATCTTCTGCTGCCTTCCCATGTGCACTGGCAAGAAGCTGAATTAGAAGTGGAGCAGCTGGAACTTGAACTAATGCTCCAGTATGGGATGCCAGTGTCCAAAGTGGCAGTTTAACATGTTGTACAAAGCACCAGCCCCGGAGTTCAGAATACTGTTTGAATCTGACTTGATGCTTTGTTTTTGACCCATGGGTCAGCTGGTTGGTTATTTACTTATTCATTCATGTGCAGGGCTGAGTGACAGAGGGAGCTTCTTTCTACTGCTCACTCCTCGAATGCCTGTGACATGCAAGGCTCAGTTAGGTCAAGCCAGGAGCCAGGAACTTCAGTCTGGTCTCCCATACGGTTGGTTGGGGGCTGTGTACTTGAACCATCTTCTACTGCCTTCCCAGGCTTAACAGCAGGAAGCTGCATCAGAAGCAGAACCAGTCCTCTGCCAACACAAGCTGTCGGTTCACCTAGTGCACCGCAACCATCCATGGGTTATTTGCATGTGTGTTGGTTAATTCCCAAGTTGTTGGAGATTGTCCTATTAGCTGTTACTGGCTTCTGCTTTTTCTGTACTGTGCTTTGCCTGACCGCTAAGCTTTTCAACTTGTGTGTGTGTGTGTGTGTCCAGTTCCTGAGTGTGGTCTCAGTGAATGGCTCATTTGCATTTGAAAGCGGTGCCTGCTCTCCTGTAGCTGTGAGGACTGTACCACAAAGGTCAGTTGGGTCAGGTTGGCTGACGCTGCTGTTCCAAGTCTGTGTTGTGAACAGGTGATTTCCTGCATACTGAAGGCTGAGAGCCCCTTATAAGGAGCCAACATGGAGATGAAAGTACCGTGGCAGCTCACTTTGGACTCCAGTATTCCTTTCTCCATGTTTGTGGAAGCTGAGAACCATTTACCTGGTTGTCCAGATTGTGCAGTGAGCATGTGCATTGTAGGTTCAGACCCAGACGCACTTGCAGAAGCCGAAGCCGGACCTCTTGTCTCCACGCCCCATTCTCTGCCCCTGCGTGGTCTTTCTTAGTTGTATCCTTTCTAACCCTTTGACCCGTGCTGGTTTTCTTAGTGTTCTGCAGAACACTGGATCCAGGCACAATTACTGGGCAAAGAGGGAGCCGTAGGACCCGCACCAGTTACTTAGTGAACTGCTGCTCATTCCCTACCTTGGAACTCAAGATTTCATTCAGTATCACAGTGGCTCTGAGAAGCGTGCAGAAAACAAATCTTTCATTTGTTCATTGTCCCCTTTACGCTAATAGAAAATGGGTAATGCAGAGCATGTTATACATTTTTGAAGAGGATTTAACAAGATGACATATGTAAAACATTCAATAATGGTTTGGGCACATAGTACATATTTTTTAAAATATTTATTTGAAAGGAAGAGTTTTATATATGTATATATGTATATATATCGAGAGAGAGAGAAATTGTCCATCCACCAGTTTACTCCTCAAATGGCCACAAAGGCAGGGCTGGGCCAGACTCAGGCCAGGAGCCTGGAACTGCAACAGGATTTCCCATGTAGATCGCAGGGGTCCAGGCACCTGGGCCATCCTCTGCTGCTTTCCCAGGTGCATTAGCAGGAAGCTGGATTGGAAGTGGAGCATCTGGAACTCAAACTGGTACTCACATGGGGTGCTTGTGTCACAGGCAGCAGTTTAACTCACTGTGCCACAACACCAGCCCCTTAGTACACACCTAATTAGAGTTTGTTACAGCGTGTTGTATTCTTGTTGGCTTTATTTTGGGGTTATGTCATTGGCACTGAGCTTTAACATTTGAGATGGATGTGAGGGGAAAAAAGCAAAAAGCAAGTGCTAACACATAAAAAGTCAAAGAAATAAATGTGGCATTTTACCCATGGTGCTTTCAGTGTAGCCTGTGAAATTGACTCTAAGGGCCTTGTCCAACCTACCAACTCTGTCTGCCAAGCTATACCTACCCCTTCAAATTAGCATCATTGATATTCCCAGCAAACCTGGGCATTTATGTGTATCACGAGGAGAATCCGGCTGTGCACGGGGTGTGACGTGCGCCACGTCTGAAGAGTAGCCCGGGACTCAGCACCACTCTCACTCAGAACCATCGCCAAGGAGGCGTCGTGCCCTCAGCACTCAGAAGGGCCTCCTCCCCCGCCTGCGTCCCTGACACCGGTATTTCTGCAGGTACCATTCTCATGCTCTGCTCTCTCTCTCTCTTGAACAGGTGGCCTCTGCATCGCCCAGTCTGTGAGAATCCCCCAGGAGCGCAAAGACAGAAGCATTGACTTTGATCGAATTATCAGACAGCTCCTGGACACCCCCAACTCCAGGGCCGTGGTGACTTTTGCCAACGATGAAGATATAAAGTAAGGCTGGCTGGTGACAGCTGCTGGTATGCATGTCGCAACTTGAAGAGACGCAGAAATGGGGCTGCTGGTGGAGAGGGGGCAAAGCCGGCCAGGGAGCGCTGCTGTTCCATCAGGGCCAAGGCAGTGCCTGCTTGGCACACACCCCTCCCCCCATGTCTGCTGTCAGCCATGGGGCTCCCAGTGTGTGTTGCTATCAATGTATGCTCCTTCTGTTAGCAAGATAAATGCACTAGACTTTTTAAAAAAGATTGATTTTAAAGACTGGATTGCAGAGGGAGGGAAGGGGGGAGAGAGGGAGGGAAAGAATATCAATCTTCCGTCTGCTGGTTCACTCCTCAAATGGCTATAATGATGAGGGCTGGGCCTTGGCAAAGCCAGGAGCTGCTTCTGGGTCTCCCAAGCACTTGGGCCATCCTCTGCTGTCTTACCAGAGTCAGCAGGCACCTGGATCAGAAGTGGAGCAGCCAGGACTTGAACCTGCACTCATATATGATGTTGACACTGCATGCAGTGGCTTAATCTGCTATGCCACAGCACTAGACTTTTTAAAAGTTCTGTTATTATAAACATAACTGAATATAGTACATTTTAAGAATGGTTCATTTTAATGTAAAAGAAAAAATCCAGCCTTTAATTATGGCTGAACTTAGACTCAGTATGTCCAGAACCAAACATGTCACACCCCTGCTTTCTCCACTCCACTCTGCCTTTTTTTTTTTTCCTGCTTAGATGCCCCCTGCTTTGCTTTATAATCAATGCCCCTATGGTGTAGAATCTATTTTTTTGATAAGTAGTGTTGACACTTGATTAATAAATTTTTTTAAGGGAAAGGGTTTATTGGGGAAAACTCAGTAGAACGGAGGGAAGTGGCGAAAAGGGAAAAAGAGAGAAGGAGACTGTAAGAGAGAGAGAGAGGAGAGAGAAGAGAGAGGAGAGGAGGAGAGGAGCCAAGAGAGAGAGCCAAATCACCTAAAAGAATGCATGCTAGCGCAGTGGCTCCCACATGGTGTGTGTGTGCTGTGTGTGTCTCCTCTCCTGCACCTGCGTCCCTACTCGCTGTCTCGTCATGGAGCTCCCTGGATATCAATATTGATCCATCCATTCCATTTTCAAGTGTTTTACACAGGCGCTGGAATTTTTTTTTTTTTTTTTTTTGCTGCACCATATTGGTTGACATTCACAGTTTTTTAAAAGAATAGCATTATTAGTATTTTGTTGGTGGCCTGGGCAAAATGTCTGCATTTACATAATTTTTAAAAACTTAAATTGAGTTGTCTTAAGCTTATAAAACAGAAATTGTGAAGTAGTACAAGTAGTTCTTATTATGATCAGTCATAAGTTTTAGTAAATATCACATAGGATAAGTAGCAAGATGAGACAATATATTTACATAGTTAGGGTAATATATATAGTCATTAATTTCCTTTTCCACTAACTTCTGTGCACAAATATATAAGTATAAAAATACACAATGTCAATATGCCTTATATTATACAAAGATAAACATATAATATTTAATACAAATATAAAGAAATAGCAAAATATATAATTTTATGTGTTGATCTTCAAAGCACTTACAAGATAAATTCCCAGGAATAAAGCTTCTAAGACAAAGATGTGTCCCTACTTAAATGAATACAAATATTTTCTTTAAAAGAAGTCAGGGGAATTTGCAACTCCACGGATATAAAAGATCTGGGTGTGTGAGTTATAAATCTTCAGCTGTCTTGTAGTTCAGAATAACATCCTTGTATCTGAGGATGAATATCCTTTATTACATGAAATGGCAGGGTGTGCGTTACTGTTGCTTCTTGCTTGGATGTGTGCGCGGTCCGTATCATCAGCTTCCCAAAGCCGAGCCTCTCCCTTCTCGGGGCGTTCCTCCACGCTGCTCCTGGTGTGCCCCTCTTCCCACTGTGGGTCTCTGCTCGCCGGTGGCGAGGTGGGACTGTCGACAGAGTACTGTCCTCGTTCCAGGGGACGCCTTCTGTCCTAGGAGAGCACAGGCTCACCCGGGTAAGCTCTCTTCCTGCCTGCGAACCTCTTTGGGCATCATATCACCTGTCGTTGAAATGGAAATTCTCTCTACCTCATCTTAGGGGGACCTGGCTTTGTCCCATCTTCCCCGTCTAGTTTCATCCGAAGCCCCTAGCCTCTGTGGGGTGCAGGTGCAGGGGTCCTTAGAGTTTCCTTTCTCCTATGCCTTTGTAGCTTGTCTTCCAGCTCCCTGGAATGCTTTTCCTTCTGCATCTCCGCCTCCCCGTCTTGGCCATCTCCAGTGTCAGGTTCTTGGGCACTCACTGAACTTTGGGGAATTCTCCGTCATCAACTTCACTGTTTATGTCATTTGTGCCATTTTACGTTGCTGGGCCATTTAATTAGAGTTTGTGCTTTTACACCAGTCTGCAGGCTGCATTCTCACAGAGACAAGGGCTTTCTGCTGTGACCGCGATGCCTAGCTCTGGCCAGGGTGGACACTCCGTAACTGGCACCCAGGGAATGAATGACACATGCTCTGCTGGGGGATGTGATCAGACGTTTCTCTTTGTGGATTTTACGATGTCTTAAAGCGAGGTCCACACTGAACGTTTTAGGCCTCACCTGCACTCGTGCGGTTTCACCTCCGATGTGGCCTTTGCTCTTCTTGTCTTTTCTGTCCTTGCTACCTGTCGGGCTGTGTCTGTGGTCCAGGCTCTGTCTCAGACAGGCTCTTCAGCAGGGACCTGCTTCTGATCACCGCTTTCGTGCCTGGGTCCTCTCCTCGCAAGGAGCTGGTGGTTCTGTGTGAGGACCTTGTCTTGTGCTCACAGTGCATTTTAGCTGCCGATGAGATTTTGTTGTCCTGTGATGATTCTCATCTTTCTGCTCCAATTTTTTCTCTAGCTTCACCCGCACCCTTCATCATCTCATGCATCCCTTTGCCACCTGTTTTGCAAAAGTGTAGAATATGTCGTACCTTGTACAATGCACGTAAGAGAGGCCCTGTGATGGATTGGAGGAGTGCTGCTCTCCACTTGGAGGTAGTGTGAGGTAGGACTTTGGAGGGTGAACGTACACAGTTCCCTGGGAGACCGTGTTTTCCCCGGCTCCGGGGGTGTGTGTGCTGAGTATCGCTGCATGCTGTGTTTCAAAGCTGTGAAAGTCATTATCATCACTGAGTTCAGTGATCAACCTCAAGGGCTTGATTCTTTCACAACGTGATCGAAGATGCTGACGTGACGAGTGCTGAGAACCTGCAACGTTGTGCTATTTCTTCTTTTTAAGAAGATTTACACTGTAGATGGGAAACTGAGATTTCTGGGAACATTAACTTCAAATGCTCTGTCAGACGGTAGCACTGAGAACACACTCACACCTCGATTTTGAAGCTCAGATGAGTGCTAAATCAGATGTGGAGACTGATAATTTGGGTTTTAGAGAAGAGAAAATTTCTCTGAAACACTTCCTTCTGATTATCAAAGCAACACCTGCCTTTTGAAAACCTGCTGGGAAATAAAGAAAATCATCATCTAAAAAATAATAGGAACCCTTAAATTTTATTTTTGCTTTGCTTGTCTAGAATAATGAAAGGTTAGAGACAATAATTGCAAAGCATAATTTAAAATAACTTCCTATAAAACCTTTGGTTCTATACTCAGAGGAAACCACTAACAACATCTGCTGTAATGTTTATACTTCTTTATATATACACAGTTTTTCCTAACAGAATCAGTACCATATAGAATTTTATGTCACTTCTTTTTAAAGATTTATTTTATTTATTTGAAAGAGTTACAAAGAGAGGTAGAGACAGAGAGAGAGAGAGGTCTTCTAACTACTGGTTCACTCCCCAGACAGCTGCAATGGCCGGAGCTGTGCCAGTCTGAAACCGGGAGCCAGGAGCTCCCTCCAAGTCTCCAACATGGGTGCAGGGGCCCAAGGACTTGGGCCATCTTCTACTGCTATCCCAGGCCATAGCAGAGAGCTGGATCAGAAGAGGAGCAGCTGGAACTAGAACTGGTGCCCATGTGGGATGCCAGCACTTCAGGCCAGGCCTTTAACCTGCTGCTCCACAGCGCCGGCTCCTTATGTCACTTAAAAAAAAAAAAAAGATTATTTATTTGAAACGCAGAGTAATGGGGAGGGGATTCAGAGAGAGAGATCTTCCATTGGGTGATTCACCCCCCAAATGACCACAGTAGCCAGAACTGGACCGGTCTGAAACTCGGAGCCCGGAGCCTCTTCTGGGTCTCCCAAGCAGGTGCAGAGACCCAAGCACTTGGGCCATCTTCCACTGCTTTCCCAGGCCATTAGCAGGGAGCTGGATGGGAAGTGGAGCAGCCAGGACTTGAACTGGTGCCCACATGGGATGGTGGAGCTGTAGGCAGCAGCTTTACCTGCTCCACCACAGCACTGGCCCCTTTTTTATGTCACATGTTGCAGTTCATGTTACATATGAGTCAGTTTCCCTACCACAAGTATTTTAAGTGGTTTAATCATATTTATCTTTTTAAATTATTCATGATTCATTCATTCATTCATTCCCCAATCAACTGCAGCAGCCAGATCTGGGCCAGGCTGAAGCCAGGAGCCTGGAACTCCATCACTGACCCTGATGTGGGTGCAGGGGCCCAAGGACTTGGCCATCCTCTGCTGCATTCCCAGGTGCATAAGCAGGGAGCTGGATTGGAAGTGCAGCAGCCGGGACTTGAACTGGTACCCATATGGGATGCCGGCCCTGCAGGCCAGGGCTTTAACCTACTTTGCCACAGCACTGGCCCCTTCTTACTTATTTTCTAAGTTTTTATTGCTGTTTTGCTTTCTAGAATTTCCATCACTTTCTTCTTTATCTCTTCTAGCATCATTTTAACTCCACATTTTTAATAACTAAAAGGTTTTCCATGCAGTTTGTTGTTTTCGTCTTATCTCACGGTTACAGATGTCGTAATCCTCAGTGTAGCTGTTTCCGTGATTTTCAGGTCTTTTGGGCACTGTCTCTGCCCCACCCCCACGCTGTCCTGTCCTTTTTTAGCTTTCCCGTTTCACACTGGGGGTGAAGTTCCTTGCTGATCACGTGACTCTTGGCCGGTCACATTTTCAGTAAGATGCTGACAGGCTGACAGGGGAGGACTTTGCACCAGATGACGTCCCCTCGGGACTGGACATGCATTAGCTTGGCCCTCCCAGTAGATGAGTTCTCTGTGTTGGTATCTAGAATGTTTTTTCTGAGCTGACTCCCATCGTTCCAGAACATCTGTTTGCTGCCAGAGGTGGAGTGAGACTCCCCCACGTTGCCTCCTGTGAGAGGGTTAAGGTTCCTGTGACTGTAATACATACACTGGTCCTGAGCTTCCAGGCAGCCCCTCTCACCTCCGCCCACCTGTTCCCATCTGCCTCGTGGTTAGGGCACTTGCAGTGTCAGAACCTCGTCTACGAGCCCCACTCCCCCCAAGAAAGCAACCACACCATTCCCTGCCTGGAGGAAAGAGACGAGCTGGGGTCTTGCCGTTTCATTTGCTGTTGCAACTCTGGCTTCTGTGTTAAGCCATGTGCCTATGGGGCAGGTAGCTGGTAGCTCTAGGTCCTAAAAGATAAACATGCCACTTCTCTTGTAATGTAGCCAGTGAAGGAGCCCTGGGAGTAACTTTTCCGTCTTCTGCTACTTCTGCATCCCAGAGTCCCAAAACAAAGCTTTTGGCCAATAGGAGAAGTGGATTTGGTATCCTGTCCTCATTATTAGCATTTCCCTCCTTGCTGATGGATATGAACATGTTTTTGAACATTGATGTTTCTCCTTTTATATTCCTTTTCTTTAAAAAGATTTATTTATTTGAAAGTCAGAGCTACACACAGAGAGAGGAGAGGTAGAGAGGTAGAGAGGTAGAGAGAGAGAGAGAGAGAGAGGTCTTCCATCCACTGGTTCACTCCCCAGATGTTCACAATGGCCAGAACTGTGCTGATCCAAAGCCAGGAGCCAGGAGTTTCTTCTGGGTCTACCACACAGGTGCAGGGCCCAAACTTTTGGACCATCTTCTACTGCTTTCCCAGGCCATAGCAGAGAGCTGGATCAGAAGTGGAGCAGCGAAACTGGTGCCCATATGTGATGCTGGCACTGCAGATGGCGGCTTTACCCGCTATGCCACAATGCTGGCCCCTCCTTTTATATTCTGACATCTACTTTCTTTATGAGACTGTTAGATTTTTTTTCTTAAAACTTTGTATGCATTAGCTGTATGCATAATGTTGGTATACATTTTAGGGATACGTGTACTTAATGATACACTTGGTAGGTGTATCATCCAGTGGCATGCTTGTTGGCTTTTTAGGGATGTAGAGACATTGACATCCTGTTTGGCTGTTGATGTGGACTTCGTGGAAAGGAGTAGTTCTGCATGCCTCCTGTGTGCTGTTCAGCACAGTTCTTGGTCATTAATATGCTTTTCACATTCTCTTTCTCAGGCAGATCCTTGCAGCCGCCAAGAGAGCTGACCAAGTGGGCCATTTTCTCTGGGTGGGATCGGACAGCTGGGGATCCAAAGTGAACCCACTGCACCAGCACGAAGATATTGCAGAAGGCGCCATCACCATTCAGCCCAAGCGAGCAACCGTGGAAGGTATGGCGTTTAGCACTGGTACTGTGTGCTACGGCTGTGGCCAGCGCTGTGTCACTGGGCCATAGCATGTGCTTGTCTGAGGATTTGGGTTTTTTTCATGTAATGGATGCAAGGTGGTTTCATAAGATGCAAATGAGGCCACACCTGGTGTGTTGTTAAGGCAGCACTCCTCTTTGGAGGAGAAGATACTGTTTTCATAATAAGCATGCAATTTGCATATACTCCTGTATTCATTCATGCCTGGGAGCTTTCTAAAAGATGAGGGTTATGATGAAAAGAAGTGAAATCATAGCACTTCCAAGTAGCCGTGAGTGTGCTGCATCATCAGACAAAAGCATCCCCTTAGCAAAGAGCTGCACGGATCCTTCCCTTCATGGCTTCCAAGGTCCTTCCCTGTTCAGTGGTCTGGGTCCCAGGGCACAGCCTGCTCACCATCCTGCCCACTTTGGCTCTCTCTCCATCTTTCCCCTCTGTGGCCTTCCCGAATCTCTGCCCCTTTCTTTGCTGCTGCGGAGACTTTTTGGGAGACAGAGGGTGTTCCGTGGGTTCTTCTCATGAGACAAAGCTCGCTGATTGCGATGTGCTCTGTAACTGCAGAAGAAAAATTGTCTCTCAAAGCAGGCACTGTGCAAAGCAGAAGGAACTCCTCTGCTGATGCAGGTCCTTCCTTGGGCTCTGTTTTCTGAAGATGTGGTCTCTAAAGATTCCCTAAAACATGCGTTGCACATTCAACGGAACTCTGTGCTCTCACTAAGAAAGGATCAAATATTTACACTTCTTTCTTTCCTCTCTCCACTCCAGGCTAATTAATTATTTCCTCCCAGAAGGCTGTGTGGTCTGTGTAGATTTTTCAAACAAATCAGATTGTGGTTCTGTCACTGTTCTCTTTCTCTGTTATCTGGAGGTGATAGAGATCCCATGAGTCACGCAGGGTTTCATTGAGAGACTTTGAATTAATTTCATTCTCCGAGACATGTCCAGGGGAAATTGCCTGCCTTACAATGCAGTTGCTCATGGACTGCATGAATGAAAAGTAACACTTTAACTCTAACTATGCCTGACTATTCAGAATCTTGCTTAGCTGCCAGGTGTCTTGCCTTGTGCTAGGGATCAAGAAAACAGCAACAAAACAGACCTCAAAGCACACAGAGCTGAGTGAGGGTGTCAGGAGGGAGCCAATGGCTCCACTCACAGAGCGTAAGAAACATGCCAAGTGAGCAGAGAAGGAGGGTGCAGGGAGCTGCTGTCTGATGTCTCTGGGTGGTGACACTGTGCTTGGGGAAAACGGCTTACAGGAGGTGACTGGTGGAGTGGCTGGAGTGGCGACTGGGAGCTCATCCGATGCTCTCAGGAGAACGACCCCAGGGGCTGGAGCAGCACAGTGAAGGAGCTGGAAGCCCCCGGGGGAGCTGCAGGTGCAGGTACTTCATTCTGCAGCACAGCCCCCCACTCCAGCTCCAGCTCTTTAAAAGCCTTCCTGCCTTCGGGACATCAGGAGGACTCTGCTGGGCTGACGAACTCCTGCTCTGTGTTTGAGTTTCTGCTCATGTTGTAATTTTGCTTGTTAGCCATTGGTGGCCATTGCACCCCGTCAAGACTGGATGAGGAGCCCCTTGATTCTCTGGGATCCCATCTGGCCCCTACCATTCTAACTCCCTCTGCTCGTCTCTGTCTAGAATGCTTCTCGTATAACCAGCCCTGCGTTATTTGCCTGGATGTTGCAGGGTGTGCAAATACAGCTTGTAGCTGGTTGTAGCTCTGGATAGATGGAAGAATGACAGACCACATAAAGTGGTCATTTGCATCAGGAGTGTGACTTAAAACTACATCAAAGAGTTTGTCTTTTTTTTTCTGAGTTCTGAGGAGCAGCAGTGAGCTTGTATGTGATAAATTCTGGGGGTTGGAATCTACAGCCATGTCTTTGTGTGAGAGGGAAGTCGGTCAGTTGGGAGCAGGGTTTCTTTCTAAGAGCTGGCGCAGAGAGTTGTGGGGCCCACTAAACCCAGGGATGTTCCTTTCAGGAAATTACTAATTATCTCAAAAGTGCTATACATTTTTTAATGAAAATTATGTTTCTCCATGTATATGAGGACAGATAAAATCACAAAATCAGCCACAAAACAGTATGGTGAACTGGGTCTTCCAGGTCCAGTGCTATGGAGATCCACCCCCCCACCCCGGCTGGTTCAGAATAAGAGCAGACTGGATGTTAACGTGATGGCAACACATTGGTGGTGTTGCCCTTAAGAAAGTGAGAAAAATAAGGTGTTGAGTTGTACAGTGACCTCTCACTGATGCTATGGAATATGTAAAATAAATCTGTAATGGAACATGTTCTCCATGGGACAAGTAAGCTTTGCTGTCCTGTTGAGAATTTGTTGTTGTCCTTTTGTGGATTGGGCTGGGCTACAACCTCCTCCAAATAGGCATATTCCTCCTGCATCCCTCTTTGACTGTTGTGTAACGTTGTCCCCTTCATTGTAAATGGAAAAAGCCAATCAATAATCAATACTTAGCCCCTCTAGATTCATGTTGTGTACATGTTCGGCAAACATCTCGATTTCTTGGCTGCTATTTTCTGTATGTGCGAGAGTGTAACATTGCATTGATACATGGTCTCTGTGACACTCACTTTGAAACATTCTTTTATGTTCTTTGTGTGTTGACTCTGCATTTGTGGAATGCGCCGCCTCTGTTTCTTAGCCAAGAGTGTCGTTTTCTCCCTTTTAGCGTAAGGACCGTGGGAGCAGAATCCTGGCAAGGTCAGTGTCGTCCTGCTGGCTGCCCCTCATTCAGGGGAGCTCTGGGGATGTCTGCAGGGCTTGGCAGCTCCTCTCCAGCTCCTGAGCCAAAGCATTTGTGTAATTGTGGTTTCCCTGTGCTCTCTGATAAACCCAGGGCTCCTGGCGTTTCCCTCTTGGTGTGCAGCCCCACGCAGGAGGATGCTCAGTCATCTCTCCAGCCCCGGGGTGGTCCTCCGAGAAAAGATGCCCACGTGGTCTTCAAATCTTCACCCTCCCCAGTGCCGTGTTTGTCTGAGAGTCCCTTCGCTGGGCTTCCTCAACCAGCGTCCCACAAGGCTCCTGGAAGAGCCTGTTTCTGTCTCTCCCCCAGTCATGGACGTTAGGACGCTGCTGTGATGAGGGGGGCATTCGCAGGGCTGAGTGCAGAGGCTCTCACAACTGCTGATGGCTTCCAAGTAGGTGAGAGAACAGTTTGATGCCCAGATTAAAGCTGCAATTTGTGCAGGAATGGACAAAATTAAATAAATAATACTCTTGGGCCAGTTTTTGTAAAGGATTTTAGGATTTTTAATCAAAACCCAATGAGTTCTTTGTGCATTTTCCCTAAAGCCAGAACATAGCTGTGAAAGTGTGAAACAGTATTTCTGGCTCCAATTTAGATGCACCCTTTTTCAACCTTGTTTGATTACCTGGAACATTCCACATGGGTTACAGAGTTTTACTAAATGAATGCAAGAAAGAAAATGCAACTTTGAACCAGAGTACGATTTCTGTGCAATGTGTATGCCTTTTACATCTGTCATCTTTAATAGGGGAGCAGTGAGATAGGGCACGCTCATTGTCAAGACAGTTTCCTTTAATGAGTCTTTTGTAAATGTTGATGCTATAAATCCCAGCCATGTATCAGACACACAGAGATGCCCCAAGTGAAAATCTAGACCAGAGATAGGACAAGTCTTACATTGAAAGAGAATGTGACAGTTAATAAAGAGCATAAATGAGTAAGACTTTATTAGGATAGTTATTAAATGCATTTTTTCCTAAGGACTAGCATGCGGATGGCTGAGGTGGGAAGGATGAAAGCAGACCAGGGAGCAGGGGACTGTACAATCAAGATAAAGATTTGGAGTACCTGGGTTGGGGTCAGTGACGAGGCTCCCTGGCTTGCGGTAGATTTCTGGCCTGTATCTTTATGAGGTCCTCTCACTGCCTTCAGTCCACCAGTGCTTCCCTTGTCCCTGTTTCTTTGTGGTCTGGAAAAGACTGATTCTTCAAGGTGCAGATTAACTGGTTAGACTTTTGAAGGTTCTCTTCATCTGTGCTAAACCAAGTTCCCTCAGCCCCAGTCCACAATGTGCTGGGTACCCCCGACCACCTACACTGATCATTCTCTCTGGGTACACACTTGGCACTCTCACCCAAAGGGCAACGCCTGCAGCCTGTGTCTCCCCTGTGATGCTTCGTCTTTGTTTTTGAACCTCTGACTTTGGCCAGAAGACCTGGTAAACCTGAAGAGATTATCGTTGTCTTTCTGTTAGATCTTGTGACATAAGAGTATGCCAAGGGCTGCATATTTGCATGAATTTGAAATCTTCTCTAGGTGTGGCAAGTTCTCATTCAAAATGATCTTTCTATGTGACTTGGTTTCCAAACATTTTTAGCAGAACAACCTGAACACTCTAAGTCCCAGGTGCACCAGAACCTAGATGAGTTTGAAGTCTGACGTTTCAGCCCATTAAGGGAAAAATGAAATCTGTAAATGACGGAAAGTTTTATTTTTGTCCCAACTCACTCGTTATGTGCATGGTATTAGTTGTGCGTTGCAGCTGTGTTGGAACTCTATCTATACACGGAAATGTTTTTTCTTGGTAGTAACTGGGAATGATCAACACTTTGTTTTTGCTATGTGTACCGTACTATTTGTAAAATGACTTAGAAACTAGGTTTTCTGCCTCTACCTACTTGGTCCTATTTGGTATTGTTAGAGGACTGGACTGGTTTCTGTTTTGGAATGTACACTTCTAGCCAAAGGATCAGTTTGTCTGGGGGCATCATAGAAGGTTTTGACAAAAGGCATAGGGTGGTCCCAACCCATGAGAGTTTTGGAATTTCTATCATTGAACCCATCTTCAGCAAACTAGAATTGAGTTCAATTCTGATAGATCCTAAGGATAAGCGAATGAGATCCCATCCCAGTATAAAAGGTCCTCACTGTCTACTTGGGAAACAGACAAAAAATATCAGACCATCACCATG